ACACAACAAAAATATGTAAACAAGAAGTTGGTATCATAAAAATGTTTAGAGTTACAAGGGCTACATGAAGTTCTTACCAAAAGACTAAGATTTTTCCTTGAAGTGAACTCCTTCCTTGAATATGGTCTCGAAAATTTTGAGGGAAAAGATGATAGAATTTGAGAGAGTTTGGAGAGTGTAAAGAGTGAGGAAATTTTGTGTGGGTGTGGGAGGATGATCGTCCGAATATGAGAGAGAGAGGGGGAAGATGTTTGACTTTTTGATGGTTTGATGGGATACATGCCTAGATACATGATGGTCCAAGGAATGTTATTTGGGGGAAAAAATTGAGGTGGCAAACTATTTTCTCATTTCGGTTTTAAGGGTGGCCGAAAACACCCTAATCCCATAAAGAGTTTGTGGTGTTTGATGAGTGTATGGGCTTTTGGGTTTTATTTGATCCAATAGAAGTGTTTTCGGCACAATGGAAGGCCCAAAAGAAGTTTTCGGCCCAATAAGGTGTTGGGCCGAGAATTCTTGGACCAAGACTCAAAATTGATTGGGCTTATCTATTGGATCGAGTTTTTGGGCTTGCATGAGGCTATTTCAACTTGAATCACAATGTATGCACGTATGAATTCAAATAACATTGTATTTTGAATTTTATGAATAAGATGCAACAAGGTTACATAGAGGAATTTGTTGTGAACAAGCTTCACATCTTAAACCCTAAATTGCTAGTTGTGACAGTTTGTGGGTTAAATCTTACCACCATCATCATCAAAATCATGATTAGGTACAGGTGTTCATGATTTTACAATAGAATGGAGTAGAAGAATGAGAAAATGCAAGAAAATCTTAATGAAATGAAAGAATAGTGAAGAGAGAATGGAAGATTTCGTGATTACCTTAGATGAACACCTTTAGATGGTAAAGATTTTGTGTAAAATTGTTGTCCTTCGCTGCTAAAACTCATGAGTTAGAGGGAGAGAGGATAAAAATGGAGTGGTGGTGATGAAGAGGGTGAGAGAGAATGAGAGGAGATTAAGTGTGGGAGAAGAGAAGAATTAATTGAAATTTTGGGAAATTGCTTGTCTTGGGGGAGGGGAGCCGAAAATTGAAGAGGAGATAGGATAATCTCTCTTCTTTTCATTCATTTAAATTGTTTCTTTTAAATCTTATATACTTTTTCCAAATTTTTATAAAATTTGTTTTTTAAATAGAATTTGGTCCATTACTCTTGGATTTTTGACTTGTAGAATAAGGTTAGATATCAATGACCTAAATTTTATTTTCCGTTGATTATATTTTCCTGAATTTAATTATTTTAAATTGATATTATAAGGTTCATAACAAATTTTATGGAGTTTTAGGTGTTAAAGTTTATGAATTTGGGTTTTAGAGATTTTTAGGTTTTGGGATTTAGTAAATGTTTGAATATCAAAATAAATTGAATCTTTGAGACTTCAAATTATTTTTGGGTTTCCTAACTCTTATTCAAGTTATAAATAATGTTTGTAATTTATTTTTATAGGTTTATTGGCATTTCTATGTAGTGGTTTCGAGATTCAAGTGAAATTGAGGAATCAAGTATACTAGTCCTAGTTTCAACTTTGACATAAGTTCATATGATGTATCTAGTTTTCTTTGGCTTAATGCATGTCGAACTAAAACCATAATCCATGCAAGAATCCTGATATATAACTTTTCCCATATTACCCTTTTCTTCGAAACGCAATTTGATGGCCTTAAACACTTAACCAAACATTGTCATCATCTAATAGGTTCTCAGCTCTATTCCATTGAAGTCTAAGACCTTTACTCGATCCATTTACGGCCCGTTGTTCTGATAAAACAAACATCCAAAACTAGGTGTTACATGTCAGTAACAAGAAGTTTGATGAAGGAGAATACCTGATTGGACGCCTTTGTACTCTAGTTGATTTATGAATGGTAGGGGCTTTAGTCTCTACACCTTCATCTTCAGAACTATTAACATTCATGCTCCCACTATCTCTAGTTTCATCAGAGCTCCCACTGCTTCCTAAAATTTCACCTATCTCTGGAGTACTGATAGTTTTTATAATGTCATCATTTGAAGCTTCTTCTAAATCAACTTGTTCTTCCTTCTCTGGTTGTGTGTTACTGCTTGGACTCTTAGCAAGTTCATCCTTGTATAGAACATTCGAATTGAACACCACATCCGGACTTCTGATAACCTTTATGTGCTTGTTATCCCAGAAGCAGTATCCCATGCCATCCAACCCACAACCTATAAATGTGGACTTTCTTTCCTTTTCCTCTAGATTGTCTCTCTCGGTTCTTTAACTTTTATATATGAAACATAACTGAATACGTTCATATGTTAGAATGAAACCTCACAACCGTGCCATTCTTCCTCTGAAATTTTGAACCTTATGGGGACTAAGGGTGCTCTATTGATTAAGTCGGCAACTATGTTGATTACATCTACCCAGAACATCTTGGGTAAACATTCATGCAGTCTCATGCTCTTCTCCCTTTCATTCAATGTTATCTTCATCATCTTAGCAAATCCATTCTTCTAAGGTGCTTTTGGAACAATATTTTGCATCATGATTCCATGTTTAGCACAAAAGTTAACGAGCCCCCATTATCAGATCTGAAACACTTGAATTTCAAGTTGGTTTCATTTTCCACAATCATTTTCCATTTCTTGAAAGAACTTAGAACTTCACACTTATGCTTCCAAAATAAACCCAAACTTTCCTTGTGCGATCATCAGTGAAAGTAACAAAATATTTGGATCCTCCCACTGAAGCAACCGAGGTGGGACCATAAACATATGAATGAACAAGCTCTAATTTCCTTTTCTTGGGCGGATGTCCCATCTTTGTTAAGGTGGCCTTCTTCTGTTTACCAAGAACACAAGGCTCGTAGAAATCATTTGTCATGTTCTTCATATCTAGAAGTCTTCCTTTGTAGGAAACCATCTTCATTCCATTCTCACTCATATACCCAAGTCTTTGGTGCCATAGAGTGGATGCCCCAACTTCTTCAACATGCCTCATTATCAAAAACTTCCACCATGTAAAGTGTACCCCACTCCTGACCTCTGGCAACCACCAAGTTTCCCTTTCTCAAATTCCACTGATGATCACTAAAAGTGACATGGTGATCTTCATCATCAAGTTTCCCTACTAACATTCTTTTCAAGTATGGAATGAACTTGACATTCTTCAAAGTCTACTTTGTACCCGAAGTAGTCTTGAGGACCACATCCGCAACACATGTAAGGCTCATATTGTTTGTTAGTCTGACATTCCCTTCGTACCGCCTGAAATTTTGCATTACTTCTCTAAAGTGACTAGCATGGAATGACACAGAAGAATCGATGATTCAATATTCAGTTGAGTTTACAAAGCACAGATAAGAGCCTCTCCTTCAGAGTCTGATGCAATGTTCATCTCATTCTTGTCTTTGTCTGCAAGAGGCTTTAGACATTGATTCTTGAACTGACCCTTTTCTTTGCAGTTGAAACAGGTGATGTCCTTCCTATTCTTCGATACACCTCTCTTCCTCGACTTTGATCTTCCTATACCCCCACTTCCACTATTGGACTTCCTTCCTCTTTCCTTAGTACTAAAAAGTTTGTTAGAGGATTCTTTAGCACTTCGTATGCGCACATCCTCACCAAGGATTAAACCGTGTATGACTTCGAATGTTAGCTTGGCACCTCCAGCTGAGATGCTAACTGTTGTCACTATTCCTGGCCAACTTTCGGGAAATGATGATAATAGTACCAATGCTTGGACTTCATCTTAAAATTTAATCTCAATCGATGTCAACCTTGAAACGATTAAATTAAATTCATTGACATGAACAATCACTGAGCCACCTTCCTTCATCTCCAAATTTACCAATTGCAAAATCAAGTGAACCTTATTTGTTGTTGAAGGTTTCTCGTACATGTTAAATAGTGCTTTGACCAACCCATAAGTTTTCTTCTCATTGACAATGTTGTAAGCAACGTTCTTTGTCAATGATAGTTTCACCATACCAAGTGTATTCCAATCTAACAACTCCCAATCCTCCTGCTTCATAAGGAATGGCTTATCTTCTAAAAAGGGTTAATGTAAATTCTTTTGGTAGATGTAGTCTTCAATTTGTATTTTCCAAATACCGAAATCTTTTCCATTAAACTTGTCGATCTTAACACTCCTGTCTTCAGCCATAACTCTGATACCAGTTTATTGGGTGACAACAAAACAAGTTAAGCACTTCAGACAAATCTCAAACAAACTTCGGTAAACTCGCAGAATTAAAGCTTCTAAAAAACGTAAATCAAAAGAACAAAATATTTAATGTGGTTCCGTCAAGTTGACCTTCGTCCATGGGTGAACGAAAGAAAGGATTTTATAAACTTTCTGGAACTATTATAAGCACTATAAATTGTATCTCACTTTAAGCTCTCACAAAAATCTAGTAATTTTACAATGATGGAGATTGAGCCTACTTATAGGCAAGCATGGGAAACCCTAATTCTGATGGGTCGAGCCCACCTAAAATTATCTCATTAAGGGGATGCCTTAATTTCCATTCAATCACAGAGTGCCATGTAGATGCTTTTAGAACCTTCAACCTCATGAGCATCAACCAAATACATGATGGAGCATCATGGGTCATGATGGCGCATCATGAGCCACCATGGCGCATCATGATGGCACACCTGCCAAAAAGATGGCGCATCAGCCATGTGGAGCATTCCCCTTAAGCATATTCATCCTTCTGAGCAACAATGAACAATCTTGAGCATTCTAGTGAACCTGACACCTGAGTGGCACATTAGGATCCATCATGGCGCACCTTCCTCATGAAAGGCGCATCATGCTCCATAATGGTGCACCTTCCTCATGAATAGTGCGTCTTCAACTTGATTGGCACATCCGTGCTTCTTTGTTCATCGGCGACACTTTAACACTCCCACAACACAACAAGGCATCTAATAGTGGCGCATCAAGCACCAAGGTGGCACACCTTGATTATAGGTGGCGCACCTTGTGCATGGATGGCGTACCTTGTGCAAAAGGTGGGACATCATCTTCAATATGGAGCATCATGATGCATGGCGCATCATTGATGCTCCATTCTCCTTCTTGATGCTCCACTCCAACTCCAAGTTTTCCATGTTGATCCCTGATGCTCCATTCCACCTCCAAGTGCTCTGTCACAACTCTTGTCACAAATCCAGGTGCTTCATGTTCCTCCAAGTGCTCCACTTGATTCTACGTACTCCATTCAAGTGCTCCAGTAGATTATAACTGATCCATCCATGTGTTACACTTGATTCTAAATGTTCCATGTTGGATAAGACTTCATACCCCAACACGAACCACATGACACAGCCCAACCTTCCGTCCCAACAAAGCGGGACACCAGACAGCCAACTCGATACAAGAACTTAGCCACATTCCGTCAACCTTATCCTAGTGCATGAGAAGAGGTTGACCGATTTACAAGTATCAAAATCACAGTTGTCATTTTTTTTTATTAATTCTTAGCTTGCATGTTTATCTAGTTCTATAGGTCCACGTTTCTCATTATCTTCGTATTTTCAGTTGCATTTGTGTTTTGCTGCATATTTATACTACTGTAATTAATGCATTGGTTTTGAAGTCAAGAAAAAAAAATTGTTTCATATCATAATCTCTTCCTTCCACCTTTCTTAGGAGATTCACCATCTCTAATCGGCGACTATCATTCTATCACTAAACACCATGCATAATATATTACTTTATATAATCGTACAAAAGAAAACTTTTGTTCAAATGATAATACAATACATGAATACATACGAAATATTTGCTTAAATGACATTAAATTCACCACTAGCATGAACCTCTTTTACCCTCTTTTCATATTCATCTTCTTCTTCTACTTCTTCTTCGTCAAATTCTTCCTCTTTTTCGTCATCCTCTTCAGCTCCCCAACCAAAATACCCTACCGATTTTGAAGATGGCACAGGGTTTCTAGCCTCCTCCACAATCTTCATGATCTCCTCCACACTCTGAAGAGAAAAACTTGGGTTGTCTCGTTGATAATAGTTGGTTTGAGCCGATTCCATGAGCTCCCTTGGTAAATTCTTTAGAAACCATGGATGATTCTTGATTTCTTTGATCGTAATCCTCTATTTGATCATAAGGCAATAAGATCATCATCACAACGTTATAACATAATTTATTTGAATTTTAGAAAATCTGATTCATACCCGCGAAGGATTTGCCACGAATATACGTGAGAGAAGTTGTTTACATTCTTGAGATATGTGAACATAGTCTGGAATTTTGTATTGAATGCCCATAATACGCTGCAAGACAATTAAAGACAAATTTGTAAGCATTTTAAATTCATTTCAGGTAACTTCCGATTTATTTTATTTGTTTCCTTTATAGCTATTTTCTTCAGGTTTTCTGTTTAATCATGTTGTTAATAGTATACAACCAGAAGTACTGATGTGGTTCTCATGAAAAAGACTGAAAGTGAACACTTACACTAATGGTTTTTCTGAAGTTTTTGGGATCAGCTGGATCTTCAAAAGGGTATGCTCCCACCAGCATAACGTATAGTGTCACTCCACATGACCATACATCTGCCAACTACAAAATATATCAAAATAATTAAAAATATATTACTACTTTTGCATAAATTTGATAAATTAAATATAATATTGTGAACTTTATATGTATTTATATGTATCTATAGAACTCAGCTTCTTCTATCTGAAGGCATAAATTTGTACCTTGCCATCGTACTCTCTACGAGAAAGAACCTCAGGAGCAATGTAAGCTGGAGTTCCAACAGTTGACTTGGGCCTTGAATGAAGAAGTGACGACTATAAAGAAACAACAAAAACAGACTGTTAACATTTTTTAATTTTTTTAAACTACTTGAGAATAAAAATATTGTTATATATTATCAATTATTATTTCCCAATTTTTAACATATCTATCAATTGAGTGATCCCATTTATGAATGTTCATCTCCTGATCACATTTAAAAAAAAAGTTATCTGATTTTTATACCCCTCATATTGATTGAAGAAGAATATAATCAAGGATATAATTCGGAAACATATTTTTTGAACGGATGGATCAAAAACATAAGTGGAAATATCACCTCTTTGAGAGAAATGAAGAAAACTTTAAATATGCATTAGATAAATGTGAAAAAAGGGGAAGAGATTCAAATGAAAACTAGATTATAACCTTTGAATATCCGAAATCACATATTTTCAGCCGAGGTGCTCGACTTCCATCTAAAAGGGTATTTTCCAACTTCAAATCCCGATGACATATTTGCTGCATATCACAACTTCTTTAGGTTGGAAATGATCAATATTACACAATCATAATTTTTCATTAGCTATATAAATTTTACTTTAAAAATAAAATTCAAATAGAATTTTAATATTTCAATACATTAATATCTTGGAATAGTTCATTATTTTTACCATGGAGTGGCAGAAGGAGACCCCAGAGATCAATTGCTGGAAGAAATACCTTGCCTGTCAATTTTTCGACAAATATAAATAATCACACTATACATAGTTACATACATACATATTTCTATTAATTGGTAATAAAATTATGTTTTCCCATATATATGTTTAACAATAGAAATTGAAAATTCCACAAACTATTAAAACGTACTTCATCTTCACTGAATCGACCAGCGGTGCAGATACGATCAAAGAGCTCTCCACCAGCAGCATACTCCATCACTATTGCTAGATGTGTAGGTGTCAGTACAACCTTTATATACATACATAAATCATGTGTTAGCCAAAAGAACTAATATTAAGTTAAACATAACCAAACTCCTGCATGAAGTTGCTAATATTAATTGTATCCACATGTATAAGTATTTACCTCCTTAAACCGGATAATATTAGGATGACGAAGTGATCTATGGTTTATGATCTCTCTTGCCACATTTTCGTCAATCTGCATTCATGGTTTTTTATATAAAAAATATATATTGAAAAGGCCAAAGATCAAGTTAGAACCTAAAAAGGTGTGAGAACATGACACCTTTTTTTCTGGATGAAAATTTTCAGTGGGAGCATGCATTTAAATGGACGTATGTTTTAATCAAAATAGATATATATCATGTACACATACTTTTTCTTTTTTGCTTTTTTGGGGACAATGTGCACATGTTATATATATGCACATATTAGATTCTTATTTGATCTTTTCAAAGAAAAAATTGTAAGCATGTACATACAAAAGTAACACATATCATATATATATAGTTATATACCTTTTGACCACGCTCAATGTATTTCATGGCAACGAGATCTTTGGTTTCTTTATGTCTCAGGAGCCTTGCTACCCCAAAATTCCCTGCTCCAAGATCCTTCACTACCTCGTACTTGTCCATTGAGCTGATGGGCGAGTTTTTGACTGAAAGTGAAAACCTCACCTCCGACACTTTGTGTATATATACAGAGATGTTTATGTGGAATGCGTAGAAACAAAATGTGTGTATATATACAGTGGAGATGAGATAGAAAACACGTGGGAAGGAGACTTGGATACATAAGGTCGGCATGGGAAGTCACATGCAATTTCACGAACTCCCATGACTCCAATCATTTAAATAATTATGTTTCGTTATTTCAAAGTTGAATTAATTTTCACTTGCAACGTTCAAAAGAATGAACTTTTTGGGTGCTTTGAGAGCTTCATATATAATATTTTTGTAGGTAAGTTGATGCATAAAATATAATATATTATTTGTTGTATATCATATAGATAAACAAGCAATTAAACCGACAAATGATATTGATAATTATATGTCGATTAATTACTTACAAATAATAAATCTAATTATTATTATCTATCAAGTTTCGTCCAGAAACTAGATAAATCATTCACCATCAGATATGATTATAAGAACGGTAGTAGGAAGATTGTCCCGTTCTTCGACAAAATTAAGAACATAACAGTTAAAATTAAAACCAACCTTGTACTTGTTGATGTTGATTGGTGTCACAATGCACAAAGAAGCTCTTGTCCTTAAAGGTTCTTACGTCGCTCTAAGGTTGTAAGTTTCAGTGTAAAACTCAAGATTTGATACAAAATATCTTTCATTCCTACAACTATGGAAGAAGAGATAACTGCAAACCAACGAAAAACAGATGAACTCGAATTTTGTTATTTGCAACAAAACAGAGTTGATGACTACGTCCGACCACTCATATGCTACCATGTAACAATTCAAATTTCAAATCTGATGACGTCGTTATTTGGTATCTTATCTGATTTGATCTAAAGTTTGTTCAGTCTTTTTTGGAGGCTTCTAGAATATTTTTTTTTGCTTATTGACGAAGTCAACGCCTGCTCAACGTTGTTAGGGTCGGTCTAAACGGCTCAACCCAAACTCACCAAAAATAAAAGTTCCTCAATTCCCAACGACCGATGTGTCGTACGAAGTGTCAAGTGCGCCTAAAACATGTCATTTCACACACTCGCTTCAACTGCTAAGCTAGGAGCACATGTGTGGGCACCACCTCTAGATCATATAGTCAAAGTTTTACAACATCTTTGTTGATTAGATGTCTCTAAAACTTTGTTAAGAGCCTTAACTTAACATCATTATATCCTACCTCACATGGACCTATCATTAATGATAGTACCTTCAATCGTTAGTGACTTTGTTGTTACCTTTTAAATTGAGAACTATGAGCATTTCACTAATGTCAACATGGGTTTCCATCAATATATAATTCTACTTTGCTTTTGGACGCACGATGCTCGTGGTAGATGTAACCAATCTCTTGTCAAAGGTTTGGTATGTAGATCTTCCAAGTTCCTAATTGGCATGACATAGGCAACTTTTATGGTACTGCTCTTAATTAGTTACCTTCCAAAATTGTGTCGCATACCTACATGTCTTGACTTCCCAAAATATATTGCATTGCATACTTTAAACAGTATGGCCTCATTGTCACAATACGTATGTATATATGGCTTTGGAATATCCCATAGAAGGATATCCAATAGTAGATCTCTAATCCCCTCTGCCTCTTCGCATGACGTTGATATGGCAATAAGTTAACCTTTCACTGTTGAATGAGCTATGCATATATGTTTCTTGCTCACCCCAAAAATACCACCACCAGCTAGAGTATACATCCAACCACTTTTGGATTTTGATTCACTGATGTAATCTATCATGATAGCATCAAAATAACCTTCTAGTATTCCAGGAAATGACAGATATGTCAACTCAAGAGTAGTTGCCTTTTTCAGGTATCCTAGTACTCTACTCACTGCATTCCAGTGTTTCGTCCCTGTATTTACAATATATTGACTCAGTTTGATTATATTGAATGTTATGTCGGGTCGAGTGTAATGTGTTGCATACATCATTCTCCTAATCGCACTTGTGTATTCCAAATGAGCCATTGCTCGACCAGAGTTCACATTTAGTTTCACACTTAAACCAAAAGAAGTGTTGAATTCCTTAATAATCAAGTGTTGAAACTGTGTCATAATTTTCTCTATATAATGAAATTGACTCAGAGAAATCTGACTACATGTCCTTTTCACCTTAATACCAAAAATTGTATCAAATTCTCCAAGATATTTCATCTTAAAGTTCGAGGATATGTATTTATTCGTCTCAAGAATACCTTCTGGCTGAGTATCAATGATCAACATATCATCGACATAAAGACAGATAACGAGTGGGTATTCGGATGTGCATTTGGAATAAATACACATGCTAGGACTATTATGCTGAAATTTGGAAGCAGTAACAATGGTGTCAAATCACTCATGCCACTAGGAGCTTGTTTCAAACCGTACATGGATTTGATAAGTATACACACTTTATTTATCAAGAAACCTTCAGATTGCTACAAATAAATATCCTCAGTGAGATATCCATTCAAAAAGGATTTCTTCACATCCATTTGATGAATCTACATACCTTTCAAAGATGATATTGATATGAGAATTATAACTGAACTAATCCTAGCAACTAGGGCATATGTATTGAAATAATTGACCCCTTCTTGTTTCTTATAGCCTTTAGCAACTAATCTTGCTTTATAGGCGGATATGGATCCATTTCGATGATATTTTCTTTTCAATATCTATTTGGATCCTATGGGTCTCTTCCCCTTGGGTAGATACTCCCAAGTTTTTTTTTTCATATAATCGAATCTATTTCGTCATTGATGGCTTCCTTCCACATAGGAACATCTATATGGAACATGGCTTCTACACAGGTCTTAGGATAATCATCTAAGTTAATGGAAAAAATGACCTCTCTCATCTCTTTTGTTTGAGTACCTTCAACCAAATAAGAGTAAAAATCATCTCTTATATTTTTCTCTTTTCTAGCCCTTGTACTTCTCCTTAGTTCTTCTATAACTTAAGAGGGCCGAACATTTTATCTAGAAGTACTTATTGGATTTGAGCTTTCAACATCTATTGAAAACTTGTCCTCAAAGAATTCCACATCTCTTGATTCTACAACGACACCTAATCCATTATCCTATAATCGGTAATCCTTGTTGCTCTGAGCATATCCAATAAATACAATTTTCATAGATTAGGCTCCCAGTTTGGATCTCTTTGGATCAAGTGTATGATAGTAACACACCCCACACTCTCAAATAGTGTAGGTTAGGTTTTCTTCCCTTCCACAACTTATAAGGACTAGTAGGAATCAGACGACTAGTGATCCTATTATGAACATAAAAAGTAATCAGTAGAGCTTCCCCTATATATTATTTCGTAAACTCGAAAGGTACAACATCCAGTTAAAGGTACAACATCCAGTTAACCATCTCGACAAGGGTTTGGTTCTTTCTTTAAGCCAAACCATTATATTGGGAGTAAAAAGAGAAGTTCTTTCATGTATGATACCATTCTCTTTGCAGAATGTATCAAACTCCCAATTGAAGTATTCTTCACCTCTATCAGAGCGAAAATCTTTATGTGTTTCTCATGTTGATTTTCAACCTCAACCTTATCTAGTTTGAATACGTCAAAAGCTTCATCTTTTCATCGCAATAAAAAACATGTAAGTGTCGGATCGAGTCATCATAGACCGGAATGAAATATCTCTTAACTCCTCCTGTGAGTATTCCATTTAGTTGGAAAAGATTTATTAGTAAACTTAGATTTTACACATGTTTCGTATCTATCAAAATCTTTATTGTTTACTTGTATCATACCTTTAGTTTTCATTTTCTTAACATTTGTAATATTTATGTGCGCTAAACGTTTGTTCCAAAAACATTAAACAAACGACATACTAAAAAAAACATAATTTCATTCACTTGAAAACCATTTACATCATTGCTATAGGTACACGCACTATCATTGGCAGTACCCCCACTAATCACTATCATTATCACTCACACTAATACTAGCATCATCACTATAATCAACATTTAAAACCAAAACATCGGGCCCAACTCCACCATGATGGCCACCATCTTCATTTAGGTCAATCTGATACACACGACGCGTGTTAATGGATTGACCAACAAAGAAGCCATTTCAGGTAAAATCCACACGACCATTTATCGTCACCAGCCTGTAACCATTTTTGTCAAACTTATCAGCAGATATAAGTACCTCCGAGATTCCAGGAACACGTAACACATCTCAAAGAGTAACTGCACGAGCATTACGGAATTTCAAGACCATCGTTCCAATTATGTGAACACTCACTCTATGACTATCAACACACACCGCTTCTGTATACACGAACTATAGCTCCATAATCCATAAACCAACCTCAATCTACTACTAACCGAGTAATAGAAGAATTCATGCTGACTCATCCAAGACCCACATTTGCTACTAGGTGTTTGAGATCATCAATAACATTCTTACCCTTGTGGAGAAAACCCCTACGGATACATGGTGCACCATTGATCCAGCTTTACTCCTCATGTCCCTATTGTGGGTTTCCTATTAATTCAAAGGTGCTTCAACAAATCATCAAAGGAGTATTCCACGAATTTGTGCATCATCTTATTGAGAATCGTTTCCACGAAGGTGGTAAATTTGCAATGATTGCGCCTACTTGGAAGAGCTCAGGTAGAGCAATGGGAAGCAAATTCAGTTTGTTGACTAGGACATGGAGCTCTTACACCTGCTCTAGGATTGGTCTATTGTCGAGCATATAAAACTCCCAAGTATTAGACACAAGGTATTTGTTGGTACCTTTTTCATGTGTCTTGTACTTGAGTTTCAAGACTTTCAAAATCTCTTTAGGATCCATGACTAGTGTGCATAGATCATAGAGGCGGTCATATAGGGTGTTCTTGATGTGACCAAGATATAAGTGTTCAGACTCTCTACATGAAGCCCTCAACTTTTCTAGTTTAGAAATTGCTTTTAGATATGGCTCTTATCCATCTTCGGGGATTGGCTGGAATAGCAGGTATCTCTGGATCCAGAACATAGCCAAGCTTTAGCACCGCAAG